ATGAGTGGCATATATAATATTATATATATACAGCGCCTGCCACACATAAGGGTTATATAAGTGCTTATTAAGTAAAATAAAATTTGATTACATGCTAATAACATGCTACTGGCCTGGCTCTACTTTCTGTTTCTATGACTTTTTAAAACTTCTATGCACTGGGGATTTCTATGATTTTGATCTCTTTAGATACTTCATATGAGTGGAATCACACAGTATCTGTCCCTTCGTGACTAGCTGGTTTGGCTAAGCATAAGATTCTTTAGGTTCATGCATTTTGTAGCATGTAACAGGATTTCCTTCTTTTCTAAGGTTGCAAAATATTCCATGGTACTATATAACCACATTTTCATGCTAACTCTTTCTATTGTGAATAATGCTGCAATGAGCGTGGGTGTGCAAATATCATTTTGAGAACCTGCTTTGAATTTTTTTGGATGTAGACCCAGAAGTGGATCATATGGAAAATCTACTTTGAATTGTTTGAGGAACCTTCATACTGTTTTCCACAGGGCTGCACCAATTTTACCAATTCCCACCAGCAGAGCACAGTTTCTCCAAATTTCCGCCAACATATCTACGTGTTCTCTTGATAGTGGGCATCCTAATAAATTTGAGGTGACATCTCATGGTGGTTCTGATTTGCATCTATCTTACGGTGGGTGGCCATCATCTCTCTTACAGTTAGATGATGTGGCTGGCGGCCACGGTCTGGATTGAGCAGCCCCAGCCCGCGCGCCTTCTGGTCCTCTGGGAGCCCGCAGCCCCCCGGCGGGCGCGCGGCATCTGGTGGGCGCTGGGCTCCGTGCGTGGAAAGAACGAATGCAGACTCGGCAGTGAATAGAGGTCTCAGATGCCAGCAGGTGTCCTAGCCCAGCGCTCAGGAACTGGCTCAATGCCCAGAAGAAAGCGCCCGGCCCTCCAGGCAGGAAGTCCGGCTCCCGCGCCAGGGCGCGCGGCCCGCGGGCTGCCCAGGACCCGGGTGGCCGCTGCGCCCGGCGGGCGAGCGCAGGCGGCGGCGGCGGGAGCGCCCGGAGCAGGGGCGGCGAACGCGGGCTCGGAGGTGAGGCCGGGGCCGGGCCAGCGCTGGGGCTGTCGGCCGAGAAGGGGCAACGTGGCGGAGCCCCCGCCTTGGTTCCCAGAGGGGATCGGTGGGAAGAACTGGGCGCCCCGGCCGGGCGTGTCCCCAAAGCGGGGCATCGGTGGGGTGGCCAGGTGTGGCGGCGGTGGCAGGGAAGCGGGAGGGAGCGGGCCGAGTGGGGTACCAGCATGGAGGGAGAGCCACCCGCGGCGGGAATCGGGGTGGGGAGCGGTGGACTAGTCCTCTGCGTTAAGAAAGCTTCTGAGGAATGCTCACAGTCCACAGCCCCCACCCCTGCAGCCCGCCCCACAGCTGCAAGAAGCAAAGAATAATCGGATGTTTATTCCACCGTGCCTGACCAACCCGGTGAGCTTTTCTTCTGTGCGGCGACGTGGGTCAGAGCGCCCAGCTTTGAAATCACAGTTTGTGCTCTGTGCATCTCTGGACAAGTTACTTACCCTCTCTGGGCTCCAGTTTGCATTCCTGTACAAAAAGAGCTAAACATAGGACTTCCCTTATGGGGGTTCTGTGAGCCTTCTATGGGCTGGGGACCCAAAAAGTGCTTCCTAAATGTTATTTGTTGTTATTTTCCCTGGGTTAATCTCTTGAGATGGGGTCCTCCTGGCCCCATTTTACCCACAGAAGATGTGGGCTCAGACAAGTAAAGTAACTTGCCCACAGCAATTAAATGGAAACTGCAGGATTTGATTTGAACCCAGGAAGTCAAACTCCAGGTCCCACCATTTCCCAGAAGGATGAACTTGGGTTAGCTGTTTTCTGAGGCTCCCTTTCCCCTACCTGTGAAGCAGGTACAATGCCTGGGGTGTGAGGACTGGCTGAGCTGGCACACGTAAGTGCTTCCCTACTAGTGTATGTGTGTGTATGTGTGTGTGTATGTGTGTGTGTGTGCGCGCGCGCCAGAAAGAAAGGATTTTTTTTCCTGTTTTGTTTGCAGACACGTCCCCAGTGCCTGGCACACTGTAGATGCTCCAGAAATGGTTGCTGAATGAATAAGCAACACCTCTTATCCTCCCAGAAACCCCTGCCAGTCCCAGGCTACTGAGGAAGAGACTGAGGTTCAGACGTTGGATAACTTGCCCCATGGTACCTGGGTGGTCGGTAGAAGAGTCGACATCTGAACCCATATCTGTTTGATGGTAAAGTCCGTGTGGTCTTGAAGCACAATGCAGGTCCATCACCTCCTGGCTGAGTGATCACGGCAGTTATTTGACTCCTGCGTGCCTCAGTGTCCTTATCTGTAAAAGGAGGACAATAGTGGTACCTACCCCGTATGGTTTTTGCGGGAATTAAGTGAAGACGAAACCCTCAGAAGGGTGCCTAGCACCTAGCAGGTAGTCAATCGACATTAGCTATAGTAAAGGCTGTGACCGGCCGCCCTCTACAAGAGCAGGGACGGCACAGCAGGTGTGTCTGCTTAGAGCAGAAGGAGGGAAGAGTGGAATGGCAGGAGCCAAGGTGACAAAGAGCTTCCCACAGAACCAGGCCCCCTGTTGACCCCCTGGGAAATTCCTGAGAAGCCTCTTGTACTCTCTGCGGAGGGCGGGCTGTCACCCCATGTCCACACTCTTCATCGAGGGCACCGAGAGGCTGTCTGGAGGACCCGCTACTCTAGTTATACAACAGGGCACAGTGTCCTCTCTGCCTCAGTTCACTCTAGCTCGCGGCAGGTGAGGCTTTTGGGAGGAGGATTTCAGGTGGGAAGGACAGGTGTAGAGTGGTTATCCAGCCAGACCTGGGTTCTAATACTAGCGCTGAGTGATGCCCAGCTCTGAGACTTCGGCAAGTTGCCTTCAGAGCCTCAGAATGGGGACAATAATAGGACCTGCTAGGGTTGTTGGAGGGATGATCTGAATTCGTGTCTAGAAAGCATGTAGCACAGTGTCTGGCACATAAAACTATTTACACAGAAGGTGAAAAGCTCTGCTAATTCATCCCCTGGTGATAATCACTGTTGAAAATTTCATGTATGTTGCTCCAGGTTTCTCCCCCTTCCCCTGGATATGGTAATAGAGATTATTTTAGCTTGTCTTTAACAAATATGGGATCATACTGTCTAAATTGGATGCAACTCACAGGAGAAAATTTTCAAGATTTAACCTATTTTTTGAAAACGCTACACTGCCGCATGATATGAAATCCAAAGGATGTCTAAGCAAATATTGAAAAATCTGTCTCCCCATATCTGCCCCGAGCCACCACCAGTTCCTCATTCCAGAAGCGGCCACTGTTGCCAACGTACAGTGCCCCTGCAGACAAAGCAAGAAACACATAACTATAGCTTGTAGGGCAGAATATATGTGTCCTGAACTGAAATATGTAAAAATATGGTAGGGTTTCTAGAAGGGGGAAATGGAGGGGGAGGAAACTCTACTAGAGAAAACACCGAGGTGCTAATTTCCTTGTCTTATGCAATGGGGAGTCAGGAGACACTGTCCAAAGTTCATGGAATTTTATAATATTTATAGCAGTGGTTCTCAGCTGGGGACAATTTTGCCTATCCCTGAAGTCAGTTTTGGTTGTCATAACTTGCAAGTGGGGTAGAGATGAAGTATACTGCTGGCATTTAATGGGGATCCTGCCAAACATGCTACGCTGCACAGAACAGTGGCCCCCAAACAGACAGCTGTCTGTCCCGGCTTATAGCTATGAGAGGATCAAAATTACTACTTTGTCCTTGCTTCAAGCCCTTTTGACTCAGTTCCACGCTGATTGGCAGGCAGAGCCCTGTGATCCAAGTGTTCCTGGAATCACATGCTGCCAGGTACTGTCGTTTCACCCCAGGAATGACAATTCTTGGGGCAAATCAAATTATCTTCTTGGAGACCACCACTCACCTCCTCTCATTTCCTCTGATTGTACAATTTATAACTCAAATCTCTGCCACGGGAGAAAGTTCCATTTCTCCTTTGGAAAGATACTAATTTGCATGTATTGGGGGTGCTAATACACCAAAGATTGGGAACGGTAACTGCAGGCCCCCAATTCTTTTCATGAATTATAGAAATAGGGCTTTCTTTTTTTCTTTTCAATGATAGTCACCCAGATTCAAATGCCATAGGAAACGATCTTGTTTGTTCTGGCATTCGAAAAAGTACAGAAATCTTACCCAGCCCTGGATTGTCTACTTTTTTCTTTCTTTCTATATAAATGCAAAGCCTCCTTCCCAGAAATAACCCTTTGTGGAGGATTAGCATTGCATCAGTTAGGGTTTATCTCTGGGAACTTGAGTCTTTGATGGCTAGAAATAACCTGCACAGTAAAGTAGTCCAATGTTAGCTCAGGTAGCCCCAATCAACCCAATCAGGTAGAGTATATTGTTCCCAATTTACAGATTTGGGGGGTGGTGAAACTTGAGGCTCAGACGGGTGGAGGCATTAGAGTCTTAGAGTGCTAGAGTCAGGATTCAAATCCAAGTCCACTGTCTTGAAATGTTGCCTGGTTTCACACTTCCTGTTTTTTATACCTGGAAGAGACATGCCATTGGTGATCATAATTATGGAGCTAAACCTGTGCAGTCAGAATGTTGCCCCAGGGAATGTATCTGCAGAACAAAGTGGCCAGTGCCTGGGGGTGTCTAGAGGAGCGTTCTGTTCCAGAAAAATGCTTTGTTGGGTAAATGAATTTAAGTAGTCTCTTCCCATACCACTAAAAAAAAAAAACTCTAAAAGGACTTTGCTCTTTTTATTGAGCTGATGCCAAAAGAATATTGATGAGAGGGAGGGGCTGGGGTTCAGGAAGAAAGAAATGCAGAATCTGGGACCTGAGTTGGGGCTTGATCTTTCTACCCAGCGCACAGAGGCCCTTGGCGTTGTTTTTGTTGCGGGGGTTGGAGGCTTGTTTTGCCTTTAACCAGGTGAGACCTGCTTATTCATTGGCTATATACTGCCCGGCAAGGAAAGAGATGATAACCAGGGTAGCATAAAATTGCAACAAGCTGGGTAAACAACCTGTCCCCAGGAGCTGGGTGGCACCCAGCCCAGTGGCGTGACCAAGACAGCAAGGGACGCTGTGTTCATGGGGACACAGCAGAGAAGCAGAAAAAGATGGGCCTTACGGGTTAGTATACAAAACGAAAGTCTGTCTCCCTGGCTTTGGACCACAGAGCGGAGATAAAACTCATCTGGATATTTCTACAGGACTGACGGCAGGTAAGACAGGGCGCTCTGAAGGAGGGGACAGAAACTGAGGCTGTCCTGTTGCTTGTCATGTAGGGACAGAATAGATGCACAATAAATATCTGTTACAGCAGCGGTCCCCAACCTTTTTGGCACCAGGGACTGTTTTCACGGAAGACAGTTTTCCCACTGACTGGGGAGGAGGGGTATGGTTTAGGGATGATTCAAGCACATTACATTTATTGTGCACTTTGTTTCTATTATATAATGAAATAATTATACAGCTCACCATAGGCTGGGGTCCCCTGTGTTAGAGGAAAGAAGGACTCTGGGGAAGTGAGAGGGGAGAGAGAGTGTTGATGAGAGCAAGCCCTGGAGCTTGGGTTGGAATCTGGGCTTCCCTGACCTAACTGTGAGACTCTGTGTGAGCTGTTGTGCCTTTCTGGCCTTGGTTTACTTGGCTGTAGAATGGGGAGTATGCTGACAACTCCCATCTCCACGGTTTGATATCAGAGCTAATAAGAAAATATGGTGCACTATAAGCACTCAATAAATGTTACCTTTCCGTTCTTCTCCTCCTCTTCCTCTTTCTCATCCTTCTCTACTTGCTCTGATGACAAGGATGTTGATGATGGTGATAACCAAACTTCAGGGCCTGCAGTCAAAGAGGCATAGGTTTGAATCCCATTCTTCCCCTGGTTAGCTGTGTGACCTTGGGTAAGTTACTTAAGCTCTCTTGGCCCCAATGGAATCATCATAAAATAATATCTCCCCATAAAGTTGTTGGAGGATACAACTGCTAATGAATGTGAAGGGCAGAACACCAGGCCTGGTACTCATGTAATCACTCAATGAATGGTGCTGTCTTTATGCTTGTTATTGTTGGTGTTGCTGTTGTTTGACTAGACTCCTTCTGCACTGGAGAGAAGAAAAGCTCAGTGCAGATGAATGTCAAAAGGGGGGTTATAGTCATGTTTTGGCAGGAAAGGTCTTCTCCACAGAAGACAAGGTCAGGTTGAAAGTATAAAAGTTCAACGAATCACTCGTTGAATTCTATTTGCTACAATTTCTGGGAATGGGGTGTCAGGAGGTGACTCTATTATTGTTCAGGTGGTTTCCGGCCACCTAAGGTTCAGTGTTCCCAGCGATAAGCTCCAGTTCCTGGAATGCTAATCATTAGGTGGGGTCATTTCTGCAAAAGATTCATGGGAAGAGAAATAACCATAGGGAAAGAAATAATATTTCCTTGTTTTCACAAATGCTAGAACAAACAAGTTCCTATGGCATTTGAATCTGGGTATCATTAAAAAGTGAAAAAAAAATCCTATTTCTATAATTCACAAGAAGAATTGGGAGCCTATAATTACAGTTACCAAACTTTGATGTATTAGAACCCACATTAATGGCAAAATAGTGGCTTTCCAAAGGAGAAATGGAATTCTCTCCTCCACAAGAGACGTGAGTAATAAATTATATGAGCAGAGGAAGGCCTTAAAATGAGAGGAGTGGGCGGTGGTTTCCAAGAAGAAGGTTTGCTTTGTCCTAAGAGCTGTCATTTGGGATGAGATGGCAGTGCATGGCAGGGTGGGACTCATGGAACACCTGGATCACAGGTACCTGCCAATCCATGTGGAACTGAGCCACATGGGCTTGGGGCAAAGACAGAGCAGTCATTTTGATCCTGTCCTTATTGAAAATTTCATCACCGATTCTGTTGCATTTTTTTTAAGTTTAACTTTTTATTTATTTATTTATTTTTTATTTCGGCATATTATGGGGTACAGATTTCAAGGTTCAATAAATGCCCATTTCCCCCCTCCCCCACAAGTCTGAGTTTCCAGCATGACCATCCCCAGATGGTGCACATCTCACTCATTTATATATATATACCCGCCCCCTCCCCCTGCCCAATACCCTATTACTGCGGTACCTATGTGACCACTTAGGTGCTGTTCAGTTAATACCAATTTGCTGGTGAGTATATGTGGTGCTACTTTTTCCATTCTTGGGAACTTCACTTAATAGTATGGGTTCCAGCTCTAACCAGGAAAATATAAGATGTGCTATATCACCATTGTTTAGAGCTGAATAGTACTCCATGGTATACATATACCACATTTTATTAATCCATTCTTGGATTGATGGGCACTTGGGCTGTTTCCACAGCCTTGCAATTATGAATTGTGCTGCTATAAACATTCGAGTGCAGGTGTTTTTTGTAGATGTATTTGGATCTTTTGGGTAGATGCCCAGCAATGGGATTGCTGGATCAAATGGTAGATTCACTTGTACTTTAAGGTATCTCCATATTGCTTTCCACAGAGGTTGAACTAATTTGCATCCCACCACAGTGTAGGAGTATAGAATTTTTTTATTCCATCTGATTTCTTCATTTATGAAGTAATCATTTAGTAGGAGTGTTTACTTTCCACGTTTTTGTGTAGAAATGTGAGTTTCTGTTAGGTTGATTTCTACTTTTATTCCACTGTGATCTGAGAAACATGGTATGATTTCTATTTTTTAAATTTTTGAGATTTACTTTGTGTCCTAGGATATGGTCAATCTTAGAGAATGTCCCGTCAGCTGATGAGAAGACGTATATTCAGTGGATTTTGGTAGAATGTCCTGTAGATGTCAGTCAGACCCAGTTGTTCCAAGGTTTTGTTTAAGTCCATTATTTCTTTATTAATTTTCTGTTTGGAGGATCTGTCTTGTGCCGTCAGTGGGGTGTTGAAATCTCCGGTGATTATGTAGTTGCTATTAATCCATTTGCTTAGATCCAGTAAGGTTGCTTTATGAAACTGGGTGCACCTAAGTTTGGTGCATATATTTTAAAATTGTTATCTCTTCTTGTTGAAGTGTACCCTTCACCATTATATAATGACCTCTTTGTCTTTCACTACTTTTTGGTTTAAAAACTAAATCGTCTGAATTAGAACTGCCACGCCAGCCTTCTTTTGGCTTCCACTTGCCTGGAATACTGATATCTACCCTTTTACTTTTAGTCTATATGCATCCTTGCAGGTTAGATGTGTTTCCTGAAGACAGCATATACTTGGCCTGTATTTTCTTATCCATTCAGCCAGCCTATGTCTCTTGAGTGGAGAGTTTAAGCCATTCACATTTATGATGGAGAACTGATAGGTAAGGTAGATTATTGTTCATTCTGTTGGGTTGTATGTTGTTGCTTTGATTTCTCTCCTGAGCCATTGTATTATCTGGCCTTTAATCTTTTGGTTTTGGTTGTTTTTATATTCGTGAGTTTTTATTATGGTGTCGTGCGTAACACTGTTTTGAGTAATTCTTGTAGGGCTGGTCTTGTCTTGGTGAATTTTCTGAGACTTTGCTTGTCTGAGAATGTCTTTATTTCTCCTTCATATATGAAGCTTAGTTTTGCAGGGAATAGATTCTAGGGTGGCATTGTTTTGTTTCAGAAGAGTGAGAATGGGGCCCCAGTCTCTCCTTGCTTGTAAAGTCTCTTAGAGAAGTCTGGTGTTATTCGAATTGGCTTTCCTTGTATGTCACTTGCTTCTTTCATCTTACAGCTCTTAGAAGGGCTCTTTAGTTGATATTTTGGTCAGTCTGATGACTGCATGTCATGATGTCTTCCTGTTTGCATTGAATCTCCCAGGGGTCCCCTGAGCTTTTTGAACTTGTATATTGAGATTTTGAGCAAGGCCTGGAAATTTTCCTCTATTATATCTTCAAATAGCTTGTCCAACCCTTGGGTGTTGTCCTCTTCCCTTCGGTAACCCTATGACCCTACATTAGGTTTCTTCACATATATCCCACATCTCTTGTAGGCTTTGCTCTTTCTCTTGTTTCTCTGCTCTATCTCTGTGATGGTTTTATTAGTTGGAGGGTGTTATCTTCAATCTCTGAGATTCTTTCTTCTGTTTGATCTACCCTGTTCTTGAGACTTTCCACTGTATTTTGTAGTTCCCTGAATTGATTCTTCATTTCCAGAGGTTCGTTAAAGTTTTCTTCATTGTGTCTATTTCTTAGTGAACTTTTTCTAGGTCCTGAGGCTTTTGTGGTTTCTTGTGTTGGTTATTGAGTTGTTGTTGCAGTTCGGTGAGTGTTCTTATGATCCACATACGAAATTCCTCTTCTGTCATTTTGGTTGCCTGATTTGGGCTGGTGCTCCTCTTTGGGGGTGTGTTTTCCGTTTGGTTCTTCATATTTCCTGAGTTCTTTCGCTGATTTCTTCCCATGTCAATCAGTTGTTGTTTCTTTCCTTTAGGTTTCTGTTTGGGTATTCACACGCCTTGTTTAGTTTCTGAGCCGTTAGGTGGTGTCTGGGTGAGATTGGACCACTCCCTGTATAATGAATGAGTCAGTGGGTGCCGTGAAAAGGCTGTGCAGGATGCCATCCCTTCAGTAGGTGGCGCTTTCTTGGAGGAACAGGCTATACTGTTGATTTTGTGTCCTGTTAACAGCTCTTGTTCTGGGCGGAGCTGGGTTGGGTAAGCCTGCCCTCAGGCACCACCAAGGGGTCAAAGTTCTGTTCTCTGCTTCCAGGAAAAGCTGTCAGGGCGGGGCTGGAATGGTCCTGCTCAGCCAGAAAGTCTGCTTGTGGGGGTGGGACTGTCTGAGACCCGCAGTCTGGAGGGGCCTCGCTTCTTTCCACCCTCCCCAACTCCGCAGCTACTCCTGGCCTCTGCCAGCAGGCCAGACACAACACCACCAGCGCTCCCCAGATTGTGATGCCAGCGGGGAGTTCCCTGCACAGGAACGCCACCTGGGCTGGGCACAGCCTCCTTTGGGAGGAGGGTTGCCCTCTAGGACGCTGATCTACCCTGAAGGCACACACACCTCAGCAGGCTGTTTCACAAATATCCCTTCTGTGCCCCGGCAATGTAGACCTCGGTGCACGGATCTGGTCTGCAGGTCCGACCTCTGGGTCCAGAGTTCAAACTGTATCCCACCAGGGAGAGGATTTCGTCCCAATTCACCACAGGGAGCCCAAGCTGTGTCTGTGTCTCTCAGCCTCTGAGTCGGCACCGTTCTCCTGGGAACACCGTGCCAGCAGC